AACTTTAGCCAAATGCTCCATGCTGGCACTCCTACATCTTAGGAACAGGCTTCGAACCTATCCCCTTATCTGCTTGGTCTTTTTCTTGTGCCATGGAAGTGCTCTCTCTACTTTCTTTCAGATCCCTCTGATACTGGGTGTATCTTCGTTGGATCTTCCTCATTTGAGATTTGGAAATCATAGGAACCACATCTAACTCCCTTGTTTTGGGGTTTTTCAATAACACACAATTGTTTGGAGCCACCAAGAGAGGTTTGATCATTCTTCCCTGGTCTTCAAAAGCCTTTCTTTGGGTAGGCATTTCTTTAGGTTTGTTCTATATGACAAATCAATCTGGAACTCCTAGGACCCATGAGCCCACTGGTCTGGCTCACTACAAGAATTTACACAATTGCCGACCACTTTTGCCGACCAAAAAAATTTTGGTCGCAAAAAAATGACATTTGGCGACCAAATATTAATTAGTCGCGAATGATCATTATTTTTGGCGACCAAATATTATTGGTCACAAAAGGTTATATTTTGGCGACCAAAAAATGAGTTGGTCGCAGAAAGTGGTATGCTTTTGCCGACCAACTACAAATTTGGTCGCGGAAGGTCACATATTTTTTGGTGACCAAAAATTTGGTCGCCAAAAACTTATTTTCAGCAACCAAAAAAAATTGGTCGCCGAATTAGTACATTTAGCGACTAATATTTTAGTCGCCATTGATTGAGATTTGGCGACTAAAAAAATTTGTCGGCGAAGGTACCTTTTCTGCGACTAATATGGTCTTTGGTCACCAAAAGTTTGAGAGGGAAATTTGAAACGTGGGGGTGAGAATTGAAAGCCCTGGCTCCCAAGATCAACAAATAAAAAAAATCAAAAGCCCTGACTCTCAAGATCAATCTATAGCCAATGGTTCTAATCATAAAGGAAGAACAAAGAACGCCATTAGTGGCATGGGTTAGTGAGAGAAGCTCTTCCATTCTCTGGAATTCCTAAAATTCTACAGTTTCAATAGCTCATTGATGGCGATGGAGTCTCCACAGTTTACCAAAGGGGTTTCGTCTGGGGCTAAGGATGTAGTTAGGGTTTCGAAATCACCAGCGTTATTTGGTTTGGGGCAAACTGAATCGGGGTTTGAGCTTAGAGCAAGGGGAATCGAAAATTTCCTCTGAGGAGGTTCCTTTGATTAGTGTTAACAGATTGACGATGGGGGGTGAAGGGAGTCTTAGCCCTAGTTCGAGGTCATTCGCTGCTTCTATGGAGGGCCTTTGATTAGAAATTGTTGCGATGGATGCTCTTGGTCCTGATGAGCGAGGTTCAACTAGAGGTAGGGTTTTAAATCGGGGTTCAGATGTGGTAATTTCTCAGTCTCAGGCTATTGAGGACCTGCGGGCTAGGCTCAACACCATTTGTTTGCAAATATGTTGGGGGTTTCGAGGGAGGATCTGGTACCCATTGAACTTGCACAAGAGGAAATATCCACTCCTGCACTTCAGCGTTCAACCTGCTTCAGACTAAGTGGTCGGACAATGTTGAAATGGAAGGGGAAGAGGAGGCTGTTATTGATCGATTCAAGGACCAAATGGCTACTTCTGTTCTATTTTTTGGTTGATTTCTGATAATTTAATTTTCAGTTTATTATCTTTTCTGGTTATTTGTAGTATTACTAATTCCAGGCATTCTGCACAACATAAGGCTAATTCAATATATTTTGTTGCTGAATAATCATGCTATGACAAACTTCTCACTGCACTGCACTGCACGAAACAATCTAAGTGGCATAGCGAAATATGTTTCCTTTCACAATATCTCTAACTAATCAAGTTTTTTCAACACTTTGTTGCTGAATTTGTGAGTATTATTTATTTTTATTCACAGTTAAACGTTCAAGGAATTCAAGTCATTGAATAATTTCTTGGAATTATCTGCTTTTGGGAGATAATTAAGAGTAACTTTAACTTTAGTATGTTGGCTTAAAAAGACTCGAGAATTGATAAGAGTTACAGTGATTGTTTATTTAATGAGACTACTTGTTCTGTAGATTGTCATTTCTAATCTGTCAGAACTGTAGGCTGAGTTTTGTGGGATCTTAGGAAGGCAGGAGTGCCTTTGGCTTACCTAATGGACCACATTTAGGTATGGGTTCAAGGGAAATACACGAAATAAGGGTTATGTTTTTACCATTTAGTTGATTGTTATACTATGAGCTAAGATCTTCACTGTGTTCCTATCTATGTCTAGTCTTTTTTCCTCATTCTCTACGGCTAATTTCATAACTAATGAAACTTATTTATAATTATAAGGTGCAATGAATTTTGAAAATTTAACTACCATCAAGCTGTAGTTTGTTTTATGGTGGGCTGAATTGTTCTTATGGTCAGTAGATGTCGCCAACGATGAAATTATCCTCTCCATCAAGTATTAGTTTTGCATGCCATATCACTATACTTTTCATATAATAGACATATTTTTATAAGTCAAATAGTGAAATTAATATTACTAACTTCAAAATTAAAGTTCTAACTTTAAAAACTGTTAGCTAAAATAATGTTGTAATTATTAATGTTTAGGTTATTCTGGTACAAGCAATAAATTATCTAAGGACAATAAAATTTGATACAGAATGACTATTAGAGTAAAGCTTAGTAATTATTAGTTTTGTTGAATGTTGACTATTTTGCATTTGGAATGATATGTGGCTTTTATGGCTTTGAGAATTCTTCTACAATTTACCTGTGTTCTTTCATTTTGCTTTTGTTCAAGTTTGAATTATTAGTTTATCTATTTCTTACCAAAAAGGTGCGCCTCACCTTGCGCCTACGCCTGAATCTGGCGCCTTGGTGTGCCTTGAGCATTTAAAATCACTGGACAGCCACTATGGATAATGACTGCATGAATGTAACTTTTTCTTCTCTAAAAGGTTAACTTAGTTTAAGTCAAAGTAAGACGATTTCCAAAAATCAGATGTTTCTTGGGTTTATTTCTGTGTGTTGTATATTTCAGTACTCCACTCCCTAGTCTAATTACATCGTGTGGTTTAAATCTATTTTCTATGAATTACTTGGTAATTACGATGTATGTTGTTTATTTTGTGTGGTACAATTTCATATATTTTTGGATCTTCAAAAGTAAGATCTGTATCTACCACTGAAGTTGCATTTCCTCAAAAGTGAACTGTTTGTGTTCTCTGTATTTTCTTTAATAATTGAGAGTTGTCTGGTTTTCAACCTGAAAATTGATTGGTTCTTTTCAAAAAATTCATTATATCATACTATTTCATATGCCTATCCTGGTTAATGAATGGAAAAAAAAGTACTTTTGCATGCATTCCTTAGTTTTTGAGTTAACGATGATCGGATTAGATTTATGGTTGGGTTTTACATCTGATTTGAATTCATCATTGCTTGATTGTAATTAGTCGATTGGATTTATGTAGTCTTGAAATCATCTTTGGCTTTGTTAATTGCTGCTTATAAATAAATAGATTAATGCTTGTTTCTGTTTTAGCTACATTCGCTTTCATGTTACTTTGTGTGGACAAAACAAAATCATGGAAGCATAGAACATAGAGTCTGTAGATGTATCTGTGTATTTTTTGCCTAAAACAGTATATCTTCTTTAACATCAATTGCTTTGTTGGTTCTCAATCTTTATTTCTTTCTTATTTGGAAGGATCTTCTATGTGTGATGACATGACTAAGCTATCATATTTGCATGAGCCTGGAGTTTTGCAGAATTTGGCACTGAGATATCAGACCAATGAAATTTATGTAAGACTGTCTTCACCTTTAGTTTATGATATTAGTTAATTAATGTTCACCCTGGTGAGAGAAATCAATGAATTCATGCAGCTATGGATGGCTCAGTCATAATATTCTATCGTACTCTGAAATTATGACAGATAGATGATCTAACTCTAGTTTTATGCTTGTTAATGTTTAAATGGTCAGCGGTGCTTGTCCTGTCAAGGATCATGTAAATGTCTTGGGACTTATTTTTTGAGGTTCAAACTCTGCCACATGGTCTGTGTATTGATGTCTATCATGGACAGTGGCAGAGCCAGAAGTTCAACATAGAGGGGCACATATTAATCACAACTTTGAAATTGTTTTCCCCATAAAAAGCAACAACGAGATGTTATTAAACTTATACAAATTTTTCTTCTTCTTTTTGGTCTATCTGTGAGATACAATATTACAATTATCATGAGAATTACACCAACATGGCTTATAAATCCACAATCAACAACCCAATTTTATTAACCCAACAATAGGGAGAAATAACCAACACAATTAACAAGTCCTCCTATCAACTGAACAGAGAGCTTCACAATGGGAAGAAACAACCAACTAAACAAATCCCATAATGAGAAAGAAATGATCAATTGATTCAATTCTTGCCTTTGACCTCCCAGTTAAGAGTGTGCAAGAATGGCCAAAAGAATAAAATAAGACACTTTTAAAATGAAAAAAACACAAAGGAATTTTACATGATTTAAGGAGGGGCACTATTGCAATTTTATGGGGAATAAACAAGATATAATCTTTATGTATAGGGGTATTAGTGTAAATATCAAAAGTTGAAGTGGGGCACATGACTCCTCTGGCCCTATACTAGATTCGCCCCTAATCATGGATATGAGGTTTGTTTGTGGTGACCTCCAAAACATGACGTCTAATGTTATTCTGAATGTGGCACTGGCTTTGCTGTGCAGGGCTTCAACGAAAAAATATGGATTTCCTTCTTGCCGCACAAAATATTATGTCTCTTTTTACTTCATACTTCATGTTGGAGGTGCACTTATGATGAACATGTCTTACACATGCTTCAAACATAAAAAATAAGATTTAATTGATAGAATTAAGAATTCAGTTATTCTAACTAGCATATTTTGATATATGAAAGATTGTCATTAGTAAAACAAGAAAACATATGTACAGGACCCATGTTGCTGTAATGGTGTGATAAAGCTAGAGATCAACAAAATTATAGTCCTAAGCCTATTTCCAAATTCTGAGGTCCAAGCTCTACAAGATATACATAAATGAAAACTTTTAAACAGACAGACACCGTGTCAGCAATCGAACTGTATGCTATATTGTCCCTTGCTCAATTTATATGAAGAATTCTTCCCATGTCGATCGGGACTGTTATGTGGCCATAAGAGACTTTTCCATGAAATAATAGAAATCCTGTACCCTGCAAAAGCAACAAGGAATGAACTTGCACGATGTATTTACTTTAATTTTTTCCATCCTCAATCTGCTCAGATTTTTTTTTCATAAGATTATGAAACTCAACTCAACCCAACAAATCCTAATTGTACAAAAGGAGGGTAGCATGTAAGTAGATAATTGACAGATTCAGAATCTAGCTTAGATGGAGGACTCTGGTCAGAATTAATTTGTTTTGTCAATATCATATAGCCCACTGTGGCGGAGCTTTCTCATGTTCTTGAATATTTGAACATTTTCAAGGTTTTGGTTCATGTTATTTATTTGAAAGCAGATGATGCAGGATATGAAGCTGCCAGATTGAGATTTTGTGTTTGTATGCATATAATTTGCAGAATATTTATCCTCCTTTATGATTTATTCTATTTAGCTTTCTAACTGTTGCCTATCTGAAGCTCATGTTTTATCAATTAAATGCAGTCAAATCCAGTTCTTGAAGCATTTGGCAATGCAAAAACTGTTCGAAATAACAATTCCAGGTGAGATGTTTCAGTCATTCTGTGAACCTTCTCTAATTATTTTACATACATAAACACAATGCATTTTCCAAAATTTGTTGGCATTTTCTTATTGATTGATCATGTAATCATATTTATTGGAACAGCCGTTTTGGTAAATTTGTCGAGATTCAATTTGATAAGCATGGAAGAATTTCAGGAGCAGCCATTAGAACTTATCTTCTTGAGAGATCTCGTGTCTGTCAAATTTCAGACCCAGAACGGAATTATCATTGTTTTTACCTTCTTTGTGCAGCACCACCAGAGGCAGGTTTTTCACTGTATCTTCTTTCATATTGTTCATCCCTTTGATGAAAAACTTTTAAATTTATAGTCAAAAAACATTATTTTTAATAGTCTTCAAATCTCACAGGAAGTTGCGAAATACAAGTTGGGAGATCCTAAATCATTTCACTATCTTAACCAATCAAATTACTATGACCTCGTTGGTATAAGTGATGCTCATGATTATCTTGCCACTAGGAGAGCTATGGATATTGTTGGAATCAGTCAGAAAGATCAAGTATAGCCTTTGTATCCGAAAATGTGTTTGCCATATTTCCACATTTTTTTTAATAGAGTAAAATTGAAAAAACTTCTTTGTTTCTGTCAGGATGCAATTTTTAGAGTTGTGGCTGCAATTCTTCATCTTGGTAATGTTGAATTTACTAAGGGGAAAGAAATTGATTCTTCTGTTTTAAAAGATGACAAATCCAAATTCCATCTTCAAACGGCAGCAGACCTTCTCATGTGAGACTAGCCTTGATATTTTTGTTTTTATGGTTGATATCTGTATAAGTTAATTTAATCCTTATTTCAGGTGTGATCTTGGTGCATTGGAAGATGCACTGCTAAAGCGTGTAATGATCACCCCAAAAGAAGTTATCAGGAGAAGTCTTGATCCTGTTCAAGCAACAGTTAGCAGGGATGGTTTAGCTAAGACAATATATTACCGTTTGTTTGACTGGTAAGATATGGGAGTTTGCATCATTGTTTTCACTTTCATGATTATGTCTCTGGATTTTGTTTTAACTAAGCGTGTGATGCTAAAGCTGACTGATTTTTGTGATATACAGGTTAGTTGATACAATTAATGTTTCAATTGGACAAGATCCTAACTTGAATGATATACAGTTAGCAGGGATGTTTCAATTTTAGTTGATACTGATTTTTGTATTAATTTCACAAATGAGAAGCTGCAGCAACATTTCAACCAGGTATATATAATGCTCATCATATTTAATAACATCTTGTAATTCACATCCTTGACTTCCACTCAAAGCATTGTTGTATCATTCAGCATGTGTTCAAGATGGAGCAAGAAGAGTACACAAAAGAGGAGATCAACTGGAGCTATATAGAATTTGTTGACAATCAAGATGTCCTGGATCTTATTGAAAAGGTTCACCTCTTTAGTCTAGTATTTTTTTTCTTTTTTTGTCATTTAATGATTGCATGTACTTGTGTTTTTTTGGCTATATTTATTCTTTGGTAATCTTGCATACTTTGGGCCTAGCTTATAAGCAAGGAACTTTAGCTAGATGGGGTATTTACTTCCTGCTAAAGTGAAAGTACTTAGTGAGGTTTCCATCCAGTTCTAGTGTTTCCAGAGATACAAGCATACTTGAAGACAACTTGGCTAAGATGTCTATTCTTCATCAAATTGGTAGGCAACATAAAATATATTTGTATGTAGAAAAATGTTGAAATCTGGATTTTTTTAGTGATACATGTACCAATATTTGTTATTTGTCACTAAATAAGGGCATGCATTTTGCCAGTGAAAGAGTAAATTGCTTGTCTAACAAAGGGAGATTCTTAGTAGCATGAGCCTCCTCTACACTACAACAGGTGTGCTAGGAACCATATGTAAAGCCCTCCCAAACAATATTAAAATCCATTCTTCTTGCAGTTAAAAACCATTGCTATATCATAAGATGATTTGATCCCAAACTATTGTAGCAGCACTTTTATGAAATGAAGTATGGCACGTAGTTTTGCAACATGATGTGATGTTCTCCTCCTGGTTTTTTCTACCAAGTCACTGACCAAGAAATGCATAATTAATTTTAGGCTTCGTTTGGCAGTAGGCTAATTTAGCTAAAAAGCCAAAAGTCAAAAGATTCTTTCGTATTCTCTTTTCTTTTTGCATGTTTTTTCTACAAAAAGCCAAAAAGTCATTCCCAAACACTTAAATTTTTTTATCTCATATCTTAGCCAAAAAGACTCTAAAAAAAGTCACTTCCCAAACCAACCCTTAAGAAGCTTAAAACCTAAAACTGTTTTAGTTAGTTGCTTAGCATTTTAAGTATGTTCTGGAAGTTTCTGTTATTGCTTCTATCTACCACTTGTGTTAGACTCTTAGGGGATGTTTGGCATGGGCTAAAAAAAGCTACTTTTTGGCTAAATAAACCAAAAGACTTAGGGGATGTTTGGCATGGGCTAAAAAAAGCTACTTTTTGGCTAAATAAACCAAAAGACAAAAAAAGTCTGTCTTGAACTTAAAAAAGTTACTAAAAAAAGGTAAAAAATCCAACATTTCTACTAACAAAAAAGATTATTTTTTTGTAATTACCAGCCACATCAGCTTTTTAAGGTTCTAGAAAAGCAAATAAGCAACTAAAAAAACAATTGCTAAATTCGACCTTAGTAGCATAAACTCCTATGGGGGCCTCACTCCTTCCTCTAGAAGCTTGTTAACACCACCACGCTCACTCTTAACCTTAAAACTCCTCTATAGGCCCCTCGCTCCAGGATTAACAACCCTGTTTCTGGATGTTCTACTATTTTGTTCCAGGTTGTTTCTTATTTTGGGGTTGTTTATAGCTCTAATTGGTATCAAACTCTAAACTCATTGGCATTGTTCTTTTACTTCAATCTATTGGTTGTTGTGTTGCCATTCCCTTTGATTTTTGTTTTGATATTGACTTTCAGTGGAGTTATTTGGTGCTCTTAAAAATGGCAGCAACAAAAATTTGATAATGCCAACTCTCTCTACTATTGGTGCTGTTGCATCTGCAATGGGACTTGCAGTTGAGAAGTCTAGCAAGGTTGTTTGCTCTAAACCTAAATTTCCTTCTAACTTTGTATTCTATGTCCTTTAAATTTGACTTTGCAAGGATCTTTTTGATTGGCTATCAAGGCAACTTAGTGGATTAAGCAATTTTCCTGATGCTGTAAATCTGAATTATGTATTGTTTCAATTTGTTATGCTAGATGGATGTGACTTGTGAATGAAAACTTAGAATAGTTGTATTGTGTCGAATGTTAATGAATTATGTATTGTGTCGAATGTTAATGATTCAGTTAATTTGAATGATGCTTTAAAATTATAGGTTTATTATGGATTGAATGAATTATTAGGAATTGCAGGTGTATTGTTTTCCTGCTTTGGCGACCAATTTATTAGTCGCGACAAATAAATAATTTTTTTTCCCAAAAAATGACAATTGCCGACCAAGAGTTTTGGTCGCAAAAAATACATTTATTGCCGACCAAAATAGCTCTTGGTCGTGGAAACTCACTTTTGCCGACCAAAATTTTTGGTCGCAAAAAGTAACAAATGGCGACCAAAAATTTTTTGGTCGCGGAATGTCACGATTGGCGACCAAACTTTTTTGGTCGCAGAATGTCACAATTGGCGACCAAACTTTTTGGTCATTGAATGTGATAATTGGCGGCCAAACTTTTTGGTCGGAAAAATATCACTTTTCGCGACCAAAGTGTTTCAGCGACTAAATGAATTAGTCGCGGTAATGATATATTTCGCGACCAAAAATTTAGTCGGCAAACCGACTTTTCCCGACCAACCAAAATTTTGGTCACGAATTACTTTTGCCGACCCTCAATTGGCGACCAAAGTAGCAACCAAAAAAATTGGTCGCGGATAATTTTTGCCGACCAAAAATGGGCTTTTAGCGACCAATTTTTTGGTCGGCAAAAGTATTAATTCTTGTAGTGGCTGCTGGATCTGTTGTCCCACTCTTTGAAGCAGTCTTTGAAGCAGTCCTTAGGGGCCAATCAACAGTCCTGGTCCCATGCCTTACACTGAATCCATGCTTCCTTTCAGGCTAGTTGTCTACCCTGTAATAATTTGGTGGCCTAGCTTCATACAAAGGCCTCTTACCCCTTGATTGTATCCCAATGTCTGGTGGACCAGCCAAAGATGAATGTTGTTTAGGACCAGTTGGATATGGCCTTTTGTTATAGGTGCTGACTGGTTTTCGATCCTTCGGTACATCTTTATAATATTGCTTCCCATCAATTGGGAGCCCCTTCAGCCATTTGTAACTCATCTTACATCTAAGACATATCCTTTGTACTATAACTACCTCAAGGGAGTCATCATCCAATTCCTCCTCAGTAGAGTCATCCCTTTGGCCTGCAGAGTTCTGTCCACTTGCTGGTGAACTTCTGGTGTCCATTTTGAAGGCAGCTTGGCTAGCTACATGCGTTTGCACATTGACTTCCTCGAATTCCTTCAAGAATAGGTTTTGGAAATCTGGCATGCTAACATTGGCTGCAGCCTCTCCAATATCTAGAAATGGGTTGGGGTCAATTCCCATAGCTTTCTCAGTCTTGGCTGGAAACTTTAGCCTCCCCTTTCAAATCTGTTCTTAGATCCTATCTTGAAAAATAATACAGTTTTTAGTTGAATGAGTCCAAGAATTGTGCCATTTACAGTACAGTTTTCCTTTAAGTTCTTCAGGAGTAGGGATCTTAACTCCCTTTGGTAACTTTAGGAAATTTGTTGCAAGCAAATGATCAAAAATGTCATCTTCTTTTGTTAAATCAAAAGAGTACTTCCTATGAAGGTCTTTCTTTTTAAACTGTTTGTCTATTGTACTGCCTTTTTGAATTAATGCTTCACAAGTCATAGGTTCTTTTCCTACGATCTCTGTTGCATCAATTTCATAGTTAGGGTCTCTATAGTAAGTTCTATATGATGCATTACTTCGATCTTGTTCTTCCTCGAGTAAAGTTTCATATTTGGACACTTTATAGGTTAATTCCACTAAGTCTCGAAACTCGGTTGAATCAAACTTGTTTCGAAGCCTAAACTTCAACCCGTTTTGAGCCAATCTCACAAATTTAGGCTCGGGTGGCATGACCCTACATTTGTTTCATGCCCTTTCAAATATGGCAATAAAATGAGCAACCTTCTCATCAGGCCTTTGGCTCAATCTTTCCAAGTCCACCACAGAAACCTCAGGTTCTGTTTGGAAAAATTGGGCATGAAAAACCTCTTCCATTTACCGCCAAGTTTAGATAGAGCCAGGTGTAAGGTTTATATATCATACGAACTCTGCTTCAGTTAAAGAGTTTGGAAAAAGTCTCAGTTTCATGTAATCATTATTGGCGAACTCACCATACTGGCCTGTAAACCTAGCAATGTGTCCCACTGTTGATTAGTTTCCATTCCCATAAAAGAGGGGAAAGTCTGGTATTCTAAACCCCCTTGGATACTCATGTACTCTATCCATCCACTCTGGGTAAGATTTTCTGTACACTGGTGTCTGGACCCACCGAGCCATAGGTTTACACATTTCTCTAATGATATCAGCAATTTGGTCCCTTGGAACCATATTTTGTATTGGTTGAACCACTACTGGAGAAACAAACACAGGGTATGGAGAAACTCCATGTGCTTGAGGGCCTCTTGGTCCATATATAGGTACATTCAAGGCTGGTTGTCCTTGTTGTACTAGTTGTTGTTGGAGGTATGGCTGACCTCTTGGAATCTGTCCTAGGAAAGGCCTTACGAAAAGTGCTACAGGAGAAGGAACATGTGTTGTTTCTCTTCCAACCGCAGGAAATCCCTCCAATCCCCTGGGTGCAAATTCAAACACAGGATTAGTGAAACCCTATGTACCAGGTGTGGCTTCGAACATAGGATTTGGAAACATTCTCATACCATTCCCTTGTACTGGCCTAAATCCACCAATTTGCATGGTTTCGCTAGTGGGCAATGGTACATTTTGGTTTGCTAGTGGTCTCAAAGGAGCTTCGTACCTGAGGCACAGGTGACATTCTCTCATGGTTTTGATTACTAGATTGACCATTAGTTTGTCTATTATTTTGCATATGCTGTTTTTCTCGAGCCAATCTATGCAGAAGGGAATTCTCGCTCTCTTCAGCCTATCTTGCAATAGTTGGTTTATGAGAGTTCATTCGATCCAAAAAGGATGTTGCTCATCTTTCCATTGTATACATTAATTGCTGTCCCATAGCATCTACTAAACCTCTCCATGGATTTATTGGTTAGGTAGAAGGGACAGTTGAAGGTCCAATTTCATGGCCATATCTAGTATGTTGGACATGTGTTGTATATTCTGAAGTGTTGGTATATTCGACCATTTGCAGATGATATAATGGGATAGGTGCATCCATTACATTCTCTTCTGGGTTAGGTATTTCTACCTCTCCTTCCACACCCTCTTCTAAGAGTTCATTTTCTCCTCTTACTCTACGTCTAGCCATTTTTATAGTCCCACCGGTCATGCCAAAATATATGTTGATTTTTTTGACTTTCGAAGGTTAATAGTGTAAATTTAAGCGTGCCAGCAAGGATCAATCAATCCTTGCAGAATTTTAATTACCAACTAATTATCAGACGATTGTGTTGAAGTTCTTTCAACCTCAATGAAGAAGACTTTACTGGTGGCTTGTTTTAGGAGAAATTTATAAGAAATAACAAGTACAGAACAATTCAGAAACTGAATT